ATGACCGGATAGCCTGGACTTTGGCATCTAGGGGCCTAACCGGTGTACCAGGCTATAAAATGTCCCACTAATTTACCGAAGTAACTAACAGCACCCTGTCCGAAATCACAGTTTTCCAAGTTTAAAACTAACGAAGCATCCTTTAAATGAGCGAAAACTAATTCTAGAGATTGCATATGTTTGTCCCATGAATCTGAATATATAATTACATCATACAAATACGCTTCACGGTTTGGGACATCACCCAGCACTTTTTGCATGAGCTGCTGAAAAGTGGCCGGGGCATTACGTAACCCGAAGGGCATAACAGTGTACTGAAGGAACACATCAGGGGTCACAAAAGCGGAAATTTCAGATGCGCGAGGGGTGAAAGGAACCTGCCAAAAACCTTTTAATAGATCTAGCTTGGTCACATACCCGGCAGACCCTATCTGATCGACACAATCTTCCATGCGTGGAAGCAGGAAAGCATCAGGTTTGGTCATGTAGTTTACCTTTCGGTAATCAGTAATGAAAAATGAAACGTCCCATCAGGCTTGGGGACAAGCAAACACGGGGAACTCCAGGAACTGCTGGGAACAGTGAGACTGGTTGTTAACAGGTAGTTAGTCTACTGCAATAATAACGAACGCTTCTGTGGGCTTAGACGGGAAGGCTGTTGTTTAATAGGGAGGTGACCGACAACATCGATATCATGTTCGATAACAGAAGAACATGAAGAGGTATCCAAAAACAGGCAACGAAACCGACCTACAAGGGACGTAATGTCAGATTGGGCGGCACAAGGCAAGTGGGTTAACCGGCTATGAGGAGCCTGAAGAGCAGTAAGCCCCAGGTACATGTTCGTAAGCCCTTAAAACTGTAGCTTTCACAATGTCATAATCAAGGCTTTGCTCTAGTGTGAGAGCCGAAACAACTTCCAGCGCCTTACCCACTGGCTTGCATTGCAACAAGAGAGACCAAAGATGCCTACGCCAGTTCAGTCATGGAAATGCGCTCAAATATGGAAAAGTAGGCATCCACCTCATTTTCCCGGAACACCGGAACAAGCCTGATATGTCGGCTAACATTGAAACCAGTATTACTCACATCCTGAGGGATTGCTGAACTTGCGGGCAAGTTTGAGGAGCATCTGAGGCATCAGACCCGTCTTGGGCGAGTAGGCTGGAGTGTGGAGACGTACCTGGTTTTGGCACCCCACGCAGAAGAGGCACCAGCTTATGCTCGCCCATGCTCAGCCGTCGCAGTTCCACCTCCTTGTCAGCCTCTATTTCCACAGCCTTGAGACGGAGAAGCTGCACCTGGAACTCCTGCCTCTTGATCTCAAGCTCGAGTTCCCTTAGTCGAATTGTAAGCAGGATCTCCTCCCTGGATGAACGGGGACCACCGAGATCCATGTGGATCGGTCGCATGTGCAGCGGACGCATGGATAGGACTCGACGCAACAACTCGTGGAGCCACCCACCTCAGGCAGGATAACCTGCCAAATCAACTCATCTGAAAGGACCTGCTTAATTGCCCGCTTCGAAGTTTCAGCGGGGACAACGACATTAAAGAAGTCTGCTATTGCTAGCAGGTCATCCTTACGGCACTTATCGAGTTGCTCGAGTGTGAGGATAAGGGTGAAAGCGACAAGGTCGAACTTGGCCATAATCACTAAGACTAACACCACCCCCCCACAAAAATCCGCCAGGCAGACCCATGGAAAAAAAAAACAAGAACGAAGCACCCAACTACAGGAATATGGCAGACAGAAGCAGGAAAAAAATTAGGAACGGACTAGCCCACAAAGTCCGAAAAACAGCAGACAAAAAGGTAACAAAAGCGAGGAAAGGACGAGCCCAGAATCCCCGGAGGCATACGCACCGATAAACAGAAAAGAGGAATGGACGAGCCCCCAATTTCTGTTACGATCCCCAGTCTAGGGTTGAGGATCGACAGAAAAGTGAGGGAGAGGGAGAGGGGAAGACAACCAGGGAATGGGAAAAGGGAGCATGGGAAACAAAGGGATCTTTTTTTGAAGTATTTTATATTTATTCACAGACACATTAACAAACACAAGGTACAACAAACTTCGGGAGTGACCCAGGCCAAAATAACAACCAAAACAGCTAACGCACACATGCCAAACTAAGCTAATTCTAAGTGTAACAAAAACAAAAGGAAACAAATTGACAAAGACTAAGCCTAACTCCCTATCCAAAACAATAGTAAACACCACGTTCGCATAAACAAAAAGGCAGTCACTCCTTACGCACCTAAGAGACATGTACAGAAAACACACAGGCCGAAACACGGTATCTGAAGGGGCGAGGCAAAGAGAGCAGTCAGGAACTAAGCAAGAGTTCAAAACCAGAAGACAAACAAACATTTTTCTGAGGAAGATTCTGATGTAAAATCACTTTTAAAAAAATTTGACCATTTGTGTAATTATTAAAGGCACAGTTAAAATGCTCCAATAAGGGCAGCCCTTATGGGTTACTTGGCACTAATTATAGCTTTGTTACCTTAAGGTAACAAAAAAACATTAATACTTTTTCTGCAACAGGCAAAAGATGTTTCAACCACTATAGTTATCAGCTAGTTGGCCACACACAATAATTCCAACTTGATTAAAAATGTACCATTTACTCACAGTTTGCTGAGTGCATCTTGGTTGATTGTCCAGTGTCATTTGATTATTCATCCTCAAGCATTAATGCCACAAGAGAGCAGGTTGCTGTATGTCTTCTTCAGAATACAGGTTAGACTTCTTATGAGGATTTTTTACCATAATTATTTGTGAAGTGGCTGGAGGCAAATGCATTTTACTGTGTTCACTCTACAATTCTAAATTGTATTTGTCATATAAAAATTGCTTATCATTGTGAACTTGAAGTTGTTATACACTTTTTTTGTAGAAGACCTGACTGACCTGTGTCATTTATGTGGGGAGCAGGCTGCTGACACTAATTAGGTAAGTGGTTATGTTTAACATGTCCTTCTCCAGAAAAAAGCTTTAAGACACTTAAAAATGTGAGCTTTTCAAGAAACAATAAGATCTTGTGAAATTAAACAGTAAATGTAAATTAGTTAGAAAACATCCAGGTGTTGAGTGATTATAAAACATTAAGAATACTGCTGTATGACTATGTCAATATTTTTTCTTTTGACTATACAGATTGGCTGTGACATTTGTCCAAGATGGTAAGTACGTAAGTAAGTAAGTGAACTTTATTGTCATTCACACCATACAACAGTACAACAACGGATGCATAGCTGAACAAAATTGTGTTTCTCCAGGCTCATGTGTTTCACATGAACTAGCAGCATTTTCGGGATATAGGTTTGAATATGTATGTTGATAGTCCATGTATGTGTTACTGTTCAGACATTTTCGGAGCTCTGCCAAAAAACCTTGAAAAAAGCAGTTCATTTGTGAGGCCTGCCAGTAAGATCTGTTCTTTACCCTGGAGTCTTGTACACACAGTATAGAAGTTCTTTTTGCATGTATATAGTTTTGTATATTTTGGTCTTGCAAGCATCTATTTTTATTTTAGCAAGTATTGAAAAATAACTACATTGAAAGTAATATAAAGTTATGTTTTGATTTTTTTTTTTTTGCATCTATTTTTTTGGGGGAAAGATTAAGAAAACCCCATGTCCAACCGCATTTATCGAAGATAAGAACACTACAGTCTCCAGAAACGGTAACTGCACTGAATAAACAAAATATTAAGTAACAAGGTGTTGCATGTTGTCATTTTTGATCAAGGGAGACCTCAGATTTAATAATAAATAAAACTCACAAGACTAAATTATAGTTCATCTAAAATATTAAATTCCTTGGGGACAAAGTATAAGCTGTATTATGTCAGGTAGAAAACAGTTCTTTGCTAGATGGAATGTTGCATTATTCTTGTTTAAAGTGGTAAAATAGAGTACATGGTTTAAAATGTTCTTATCCATTTGTGCTAAAATGTTAAAATCAGGCAAAGAGAGGTTTTCAGTAAAAAGGTATTGGCGTTAATCACTTTTTGGCAATGTATAAACTGCATTGTTCTGGTCATACTGGTCCTGTAGAGGTGTTCAACGTGGTAAAAAAGGACTGGATGGTTGATACTGCAGCACACAGCAGGAAAAATCCACTGACTCTTTAATATGACTGCAAGACGAAGAATTGTCTTTATTTTATAAGTAATCCACATGGGTTGTGTAGTGAAACTCATTTAGACGAAGGAACATTTATAAACATAAATCTACATTAATGTGCCGCATTTGAACGTCCATGGCTTCATGACATAAGGTTACAGTTTTACAAAAAAGTTACGACCGAGGACAACTTTAAAGCGTTTTACATGACAATTGCTTCCTTTGACTCTTATTACAATTATTTATTTAAAAATTCACCAAAGCCTTAAACTTGACAAAGACATACATTCGCTATTAGCTCGGGGATACATATACTGTATAGAGTTGCACTTTAGGACGATTTGAAAAATAGCTGCTGTAGTCGAATAGAAACTGTGCGATGCGTCCCGAACAGGCTGTGCGTGCTTCCGCGGATGGTAATCAGTTTCTGGCAGACAATCACTTTTTCGCACAACGCCTGCAAAAGTGACCCCACTCTGGTGAAGTTACTTTTTTTTTAAAGTTTGCGTAAGTGTACAGTAAACAAGTGAACATTTTTAAGCATAACATATTTTGTATAAAATCTACATTAACATTCTAAACAGACCAAAAAAAAGGACAATAGAAAAAAAAAACGGTGATGAAATGTGAGAAAATGATGCACATCTCCTGCTCTGACTGCAGCTAGGCGGGACTGCTGCGCGAGGACTGGCCGCCTGTGAGTGCTTTGGGACGGTAGAGGAGCCCACGGCAGCACCCGCTGCTCGATGAGGAGAGTAAGAATGATACGTGCTTTCACGTCAGAGTCTCCAAAAGTCTCCAATAACATCAGAAAAAGTCGCTAGTCGCTAGACGGGTCTAAAAACTCGCTAGATATAGCGACAAAGTACCTAAGTTGGCAACACCGGTGAAACTCACTCTTCCTTCCCTTCACGTGATCATGGGGGGACGCTCGCGATATCTTGGCTTTGCACTTTCCGTGACTTCACGTTTCCGATACCGCTGGACGCTTGTGGTCAGGTCTGTACTGTTTTTCCCTCAGCGCTCAAGCGACGTTTATGTGCATTTCACTGTTTACTTTGTTATTAATACGACATACATCAGTACACGTTTTATGCACTGAAAATACTTAATTTAAAATCCAGTAGTGTGCACAGAGTAACTTAACGTTTAACCTTCGTTAATTCATTTGTGCACCTTTTACTAGTGGGGCGGATACAGTCTTGTGACTTGCATTAAAATGCATACAAGAACGATTTTTTGTTATGCATACTGGCATGTATTTTTGCCTTTATATTTAGCTCCAAAATTTCCATAAATGTGTTAACTACAGTATTTGGCTTAGCTCTATAGACATGCACTGAACACTCTAAAGTTACCGTAGAAAACGTTTATGCGGATACAAAGTAACATTTATTTCACGTCGTCAAACAAAATCAATGTACAGTTTTCTCCCTGGAGTGTAGTAACACATGATCTGTTATTTTTGAAGACGTTAGGTGGTTAAGTTTGTGTTGTCAGTGTTATAGACATGTGTTTGCACTAACTTTAATAGTTTTAGGGACGATTTGTTTATTGGGCAACATGGCGGTGCATCGATAAGCACTGCGCTCATTCACCTCCATGCCAGATTTACATGTTACATTGGTTCCATGGTTGGAAAAACAAACGGTAATCACCCCTACAGAAATATTGATGCAGTCTAAGAACGTTGAGTGATAAATTCTAGGTTTCCAGTTCAAGTCTTGTTGGAAGGTTTCTTAGTGCTTTTGAGCTGTATGATGGATTAAATGAGGAAAGTCGTTTTGCATAAATAGTGAGCGGAAAAAAATAAATATAAATGCTGATATCCAGACATAGGTGGTTCCGGTCCATGCAGAAAGTAAAAATCCAGACCACAATTTTATTTCCACTAACCAGCTGAGTATAAAGAGTCATAGAGTATTCAAATGCTGTAATTTTTCTGAAAAACCGTGTTTTCGCTGTGACAATTCAGCTTTGCTTCACTTTTGGCGTGATTGTATGTCTCGTTGATCAGGTAGTTTCTGTGTTCGCAAGACCAGGTTGTGTTTTCTGTAGCTGCAGTTTCCTTCCTTTTTTGGGGCAGTTTTTCTGATAATGAAATCAGGTATAGATCGTCATCCATGTAATGCTTTGTGACTCAGTAATAATATCCATTAAATACTTCCTGACTTATTCACAAGGTCAAATCCCAATACAATCCACACATATATGCAGCGTATGTCAATGTGAACTTTAGACTTTACAGATCTTGATATAAAATCCCGTGAAAACTCACTCATTGTTCTCTTTATCTTTTTTTAAAGCCCGACCTGCAGATATTGATCTTTGTTGATTTTTTTTAAACACTTAAAATGTAAGCAAAAAGGTTTAAAAACCAGGAACTCCTATGCTGATCAACGATCAGATTTCCCAGTCAGTCGTAGAATTAACTTATGTAAATGGGTCTTGGTTCTGCAAATGCTTCGCACAAAACTACTGAACACTCAACCCAGGGACGGATTATGGGTTGTGTGGGCCCCTGGGCAAAACGTTCGCGAGGGCCCCCCCCCCCCACCACCACCACCACCACAACCACCACAATTCAAGGGCCCTTGGCAGCCAAACGCCCTC